GTGAATACATGTGCCATAAAATACAGCAACATCCCTCTAATCCAGTCTACTCAGGAGGCTGAGATCTGAGGTTTGTGGTGCAATGCCAGACTAGGTAGAAAAGTCTGAGGGATTCTTATCTCCAATTAACCAGCAAAAAAAAAAAATAGGAAACAGAATGACAAGTGGTATGGTGGCGGACTTAAGTGATAAAGCCAAGAGAGTGTGAGGACCTGAATTTAAGCTCCAGGACAAGAAATAAAAGAAAAGAAAGAAAGAGGAAGGAAAGAAGGAAGGAAGGAAGGGGGAAGAAAGAGAGAGAAAGAAAAATTAAGAGGAAGAGAGAGAGGGAGGGTAGGAGTGAGAAAGAGAAAGAAAAGAAAAGAAAGGAAAGAAGGAAGGAAGGAAGGAAGGAAAAAGGAAGGAAGGAAGGAAGGAAGGAAGGAAGGAAGGAAGGAGGAAGGAAGGAAGGAAGGAAGGAAGGAGGAAGGAAGGAAGGAAGGAAGGAAGGAAACAAGGAAGGAGGAAGGAAGGAAAGAAAGAAAGAAAGAATTTGTTTTCAACAGCATGATCATCAGTTAGGAAATCTAGAGGACTATTTTAAACAGGTGGCAAAATTAAAATTATGGTGGAGGTTCCAAGCCCAGTTTAAGAGCCTTTTGTGTTCTTCCTTACTTGCTTCTATACCTGAGGGAGATGGAAAGGAAGGCCTTACTCATGTCTCCAGTGTTTTTCTAATGACATTTCCTTTTATGTCTCCTTATTTTGAACACTACTCAAGTAATAAGCAACTTGAAAGCATGCCTCCACGTTCTAAGGTGCTGCTGAAGGTATGGCTCAAGTGGTAGAACACTAGTCCAACTGAGAAAGCACGAGGCCCTGAGTTCAAAACCCAGTACCATCAAATAAATAAATTTAAATTTTCTACGTAAATGAAAATTATTATTGCGTCTGGTTCTGGATCTAAAATAGAGGTTGACAACCTCTCCCCTGCCTATCTTTTTTAAATATAAGAATTAAGAACAAAACATAATTGCATTTTTAATTTTTTAAACAAAACATAGCTTTCCAGGGTGGTGTGATATTCTTTTCTTTTTCCTTTCTTTCTTTTTCCTTTCTTTCTTTTTCCTTTCTTCCTCTCCTTTTTTTTTTTTGTGCAACTACAGTTTGAAATCAGAACCTCCTGATAACTAGAAGGTGTTATACACTTTTTTGTTTAAGTTATTTTTCCTTTCTTTTTCTTTTTTTATTCTTTCTCCTTTTTTGACGTGTTTGGGTGTATGTGTTCATGTGCCTGTGTACACTCCAGTATTGGGACTTGAACTCATCGTCTCTCACTCTTGCTTGGGTTTGTTATTCAATGCTGTGGTCTACTACTTGAGACACACCTCCAGTTCCAGCTTTTAATGGGAGATAAGAGTCTCACAGACTTTCATGCCCAATCTGGCTTTGAACCTTAGTTCCCACACCTTACCTCCTGAAAAGCTTGGATTGCAGACATAAACAACCTGAACCCAGCTTGTTTTTCAGATAGGATCTTGTGCTTTCTGCGTAGACAATCTCAGACTACAATACTTCTACCTGCATATCTATCATAGCTGGAATTACAAGTATGCCCAGCTTGTTGAGATTGGGGGAAGGGTGTCCTTGTTAACTTTTGAAATTACAATGCTCCCACTCTCTGTCTCCTGTCTTTTCTTTATAACTAAAAGATAGAAAGGAGACATTGTGAAGTACACAAAGAACATAAAAATAGAAGATTAGACCCTAAAAGGAAGATCAGGTGTGTTGACTGTTAAGATAGCTGGTGAACAACTTCCGCCCCCACTCCCACATCAAAGGCTAAAAATGGGTGGCTGTTCAGGCCTGTAGTATAGCAAAGCACAGACAATAACCTTGATAAAAAAAATCATAACCCTAGTTACAGAGGTTTGGGCAGGAGAGGCCCATGTGCATGGATTACAGGAGGAAGGAAATTTCAAAATCCTACCTTCCAAAAGCACAGAGCAAGAAGAAAACTCAGGACAGTGTCAGATGAATCATTATCATTCGCTTGTGATCAAAACTACCTGGCTATCAGCCTCCACACCACCACCAACCAATAGCAGGCATAAGAATGAGCATCCAGTGGCAGTGCTGGGGTTACATTGTTGAGGGAAGGGAGAGGGACCATTTCCTGTAGCTGTAGGTTCCCATCTGCCCACCTGGAAGATGGACAGACCTCACCAATCTGATTGAATTCATCCACCTGCGTTCTACGTATCTCAGGAATCTGGAAGGGTCTGTTTCTTTGTTGAGATCATTCAGATTATTTAAGGGAAATCCACAAAGTGCTAGGAATGCCTAAACTTTTACCCAGGGGCAAGGAAAAATTATCCTCACTGAATAAATTTGAAGAATAGTGACTTAAAGTACAATGACATCATGATGGTACCCACTAGTCATGTCTACCCAATGCACAAGTCAAGAGTGTTCAGAGCACAGAAATTAAACTGAAAAACTTGATGTCTCCTGAATTACCTCTATTGCAAGCTTATATTCCTTCTTCCTGGGAGCTGTTGATACTGGCTTTTTCCCATCCTGAAGCTAGGAAGTAGAGTGATAATAAGAGCCTAAGAAGGAAGCCAGGAACCAGCAGCTCACAGCTGTAATCCTAGTTAGGAGGTTGAGATCCAGAGGATCAAGGTTCAGAACCATCCCAAGCAGAAAAGTCCACAAGACTCTGTCTCCAATTAGCAAGTAAAAGGCAAATTTGGAGGCATGGCTCAACTGGAAGAATACAAGCAAAGAGTGAGCAAGCAAGCCAAGTAGGCTCAAAACGCTGTGTTTAGGAAAGAAGGAAGGAAGGAAGGTAGGAAGGAAGGAAGGAAGCAAGCAAGCAAGCAAGCAAGCAAGGAAGGAAGCAAGGAAGGAAGGAAAAGAGGGAGGGAAGGAAGGAAGGAAAAGAGGGAGGGAAGGACAGAGCCATGGAGGAGGAGAAGGAGGAAGGGAAAGAGGGGGAGAGGGGAGGGAAGGGGAGGGGAAGGGAAAGGAAAGGGGAGGGGAAGGGAGGGAAAAGGGAAACTGATGGACAAGATGTGTGGTTGAAGGAGAGAACAAACCCTAAGGCCTGTCTCTGGTTGCAAATCACTTGTGGTCCTCTAACACTTCACTTTTGACTCAGAAGTGCCCACATCTTGAGGCAAACTTCCCCATCACGTTAATATCGTTGCAGTTTTGAATTTGCTTTAAGAGTGCATTTGCTTGCTTAACTAAAATTTTCTGAAGATTTAGGACTTGCTATGTTGCATGTGGAGTCTGCATCAATTCTGCTGTGGTTTCAGCATTTCTTCCTTATCTGTGTGCTGGAGCCTTCACCTCCCAGTGCTCAGTGGAAGGAGGTGGGGCCTACTGGGAAGTACACAAGAGCTCAGGCCTTATGTTTGGATTAATCACCATTCACCATCAGCTATCATGGAGTTCAGTCCCCTTCTCTTGCTCTCACTCACTGACCTCTCTACTATTTTTACTTTATTATGAGAAGAATGTTTGGGTAGAAGTGGAAAGATTCAGCAGGCAGAACATCAATATGAACACAGTTAAACTCAGCAACCGCATAAATCAAGTGTATATATATATATATATATATATATATATATATATATATATATATATATATATATAACAGACCACTGTAGATTAGTTCCTCTAACAACAAAGTGAAAACTCTTTTGGCACACTTATAAGCTAGGCCATATTCTGAGACACAAAACACACCTGTAACAAATTTTAAAGAATGTCTGCTCCCTCCCAGGCTACAATGGGATTAAACTAGAAGTTAGTGAGAGAAAGATACTGGAAAAATAAATCCCCAAATACTTGGGAGATTAAGCAACATACTTCAAAACAATGACAGATCAAAACAAATTTCAAGGGAAATTTTAAAATATTGTGAGCTAAGCAGGGCTTAGAAGAAAAGTCAAAGCATTGAATACATCTAAAATTAAATACATCTAAAATCCTCCAAGCTTCCTCTTCAGGAAACTAGAAAACAAAGAGCAAATTACATCAAGTAAGCAGGGGGAAAAATAAGAAATATAACAGAAATCAACTAAATTGGGGCTGGAAATCAAGTGGAAAAAAATCAATGAAACAAAACTAGTTTTGCAAAAATATCCAAAATGTTGATAATTAGGCTAAGAAGAAAAGAGAGCATACAAATGACTATTGTCAGAAATTCAGTGAGAAAGTACTATGAATCCATGTAACTAGAATGTTATGAAAACCCCATGCAGAGCCAGGTACGGTGGCACACACCTGTACCTCCAACCCTGGAGAGTGAAGCAGAGGATCATGAGTCTGAGGTCAGTGTAGGCAACAGAACATGATCTTGTCACAGAAAAGCAAAGCTGAGTATATAATTCCATGTTACAGTACTTGTATAGCACGTACAAAGCCCTGAGTTCAACACCTAACACCAGGTCAATCAACAAAAAACACTTCTCTAAGCTGGGTACTGGTGGCCACACCTGTAATCCTAGCTACTTAGGAGGCTGAGATCTGAAGATAAGGTTCGAAGCCAGCCTGGGCAGAAAAATCTTTGACTATCTCAATAAGCTACTTAGAAAAAGCCATAACTGGCACTGTGGCTCAAGTGTTAGAATACTAGCCTTGAGCACAAAGAGGTTCAGAGGTTAGTGCTTAGGCCCTAATTTCAAGCCCCAGGACCAGCAAAACAAAAACAAAAAACAAACTAACAAACACAAAACACTTCTCTAGATGGAAAAAAAAAAACTATAGCTAACACATACCTACAATAAGAAACTCAAAAAGTTTTCCCATGAAGACCAAACTCAAGAAAGGATTTGTAATCACTGCCTTTTAACATTGTAGTGGCAGTCCTAGCTTAAAGAGGGAGACAGAAGTAATGAGGAAGGAAGAAATAAAAATGATCTTTCTTTGCAGATGACATGATAATCTGTGTAGAATATCTGAAAGGACTGACCAGAGAAAAATCCCAGAACTAATGAGCAATCGAGAGTATGGTTGCGGAACATAAGGTAAATATACAAAACCTATCACATTTCTATAAACCAGCAATGAGCTGTTGTGAATCCAGAGATATAGAGAAGCCACATTTTTAGAGGTTGAATTGGGAGTCCTTATTAAAAGTCCCGCATTTGCAAGCAGACTATTGACACAAAGACTTGCAGCCCCATAACACTGTTAGTAAACTGAGCCATGAGAGCAGGAGAGAAAAGAAAGAGCAGAAAAACACCAATAACCCAGATCAACCCTAATGGAGAACTGAAACGGGATGCCATAATGACCAGAGCAGAGCCAGGAGATAGGACCCAACACCTGAGGCCTAGCATAATGGTGTCTATGCTCATCAGATCCTAAAATCTGGTTGGCTTCAAGGGCAGGGTCATAGGAAAATTTAGAGTCTCCCAAGTTCAAGGTGCAGGACTGACAGGTCCAGTAATCTATCATCCAAGTCCCTGTCCCTGCCTCTCAGGGATTCCGACAAACCCATCACCAGTTAGATGGGATTTCCCTGGGGCTACACAACAAGAAGCCCACAATATGGTCTATCTGCTGTTCAAAGGATGGCTTGTCTCATCTCTAGGCCTTGGAAGCCCCCATCACCTGGTTAGGTGCCAGGATGGCTGTGAAAATGAGGTGACTTACTTAGACGTTGTCTTTCCCTTACTTCACAGCAAGTAGAATATGAACCAAAAACACAATACCACTAACATTACCTTCCCCATCACGCCAAAATGAAATACTTAAGGATACATCTAAGATAATATAAAGAAGAATTGTGTGCAGAAAACTTACAAAGCTAACGCAAGAAATCAACAAAGTAAACAAAAATAAGTTTTGTGTTTATGGATGGGTAGTGCCACCCCACCCCACCCCCTGCCACCCCTGCCCCGTGTGGAGACATTAGGAGGTGATGGTGAAAGCGATGCTGAATCTAACCAGTACCATCTTGGCCAGGTGGGGATAAAAGGGTATTAACTGGGTTTAACTGGTGCCATCTTGTCTTCATGGAGGAAGGCAGAGAAGTCCCACCTCCCAGGTGATGGGTGTGCCAGAATTCTTAGAGGCAGGGGCGGGGACTTGGATAATAGGTTACTGGGCCTGCCAGTCTTGGGTAGCTCCTTGTGACCCTGCCCCCTGACCTGATCAGGTACCATTACGCCATGCCATGTGTTTTCCTGTTTGTGTCCAGTCTCCTGGCTCCTGGCTCTTCACCAGTCACCATGGTGTCCCACTTCAGCTCTCCATTGGAGCTAATCTGGTCTGTTGGTATTGTTTGTCTGCTTTTTTCTTTCCTCTCTGGCTCTCATGGCTTAGTTTTCTGACAAGAGTTAAGTGTATTTGCAGGGCTGCTAGTGAAGGATTGACCCCCACCCTATTATCCCAGGCCCATAGAGTTGCCAGGCAAAATCCAAGGTATATGTGAACTTGTTTGAAGTGCAGGCAGGACAATCTACCTAAGCCCACCCATAAACATCCCATTGTGGGCCCAACTGAAAAGCCCCAAACCCCCTTGACCTGGAGGCTTTTTCATTAACCTGTCCCTCCTTGCTCAGACCTCATCTAAAAACCCAGCTCCTGTCCCAGCTCTGGGGCAAACCTCCAAACCCGCGGGAAGGTCTGTGCCCCTCACTGTTCCTCAATAAACTAGTCGTGGCCTGTTGATGATTGAGTCCAGCCTAATCTTTTCCTGTTCTTCTCCATTTTCCCAATAGCTAGTCTTTTAGACAGGAGTCCACCAGGTAGTTGCCAGCCTTTTAATAAAGACTCCCAATTCAACCTCTTAAAATGTGGCTTCTCTGTTTTCTCCAACCATGGGACTTAAAAAGCCAGGCTGAGTGAAAGGTTGTTGCTGGTCCTTCCCTAGCACTGGCTCCCTGTCTTGTGAGTCTCCATCTCACACACTCCTGTCATTATGGTGCCCTCTGCCAGAAGGCACTCATCAGAAGAGAGCTGATGCCAGTGGCAGACCTAGGACCTATAGAACTATGAACAATAAAACCTCTTTTTCTTGTAAAGTACCCAGTCTCAGGTATTTTGTTTTAGGTGAGGAGGACAGGACAACTCCTGAGCCTCATGCATCAGCTTTGTCCTCTTAGCTCCACTGTGCCACAGAAAGCTCCTTCCTCTGCATCCACAAAAGCTTCCTGGCCAGGGCTCACATACAGAAGGAGGTTCTGACAGGCAGGCTTCTGGGATTCAAAATGGTAACTGCCCAGCTGGGTTCCAGAGCTGGATCTGAAAGGAGACATTATCTTTGTCATGATCCAATTACCCCCAGTTTTTACAGGGACAGAGATACAAGGAACAGACTGAGACTGAATCTTGAGCTCCAGGGAGCCACGAACACCAGAAAGAAAAAAAAAAAAAAGACAGGAAAGCCTTTCCAGAGTCATGTATGCAAATAGAATGCTGAAATCTGTCAAAAAAATTTAAGGTAGGAGAAGGAAGAATAATAGAAGGGGTGAATTTTTTATGTACCTTGTATTTATTACTTTTTTACATTTATTATTGTTATTATTATTATTATATCTTTAAATAGTTGTACAAAGGGACTGAGGAGAGAAGGAGCAGGCCAGCCTGGAGCTCATGGTGTCTACTGGGCTGAGAGAAAAGTAAATACAAGCTCAGTAACAAGATGTGTCCTTTCTCCTCCTCTTCTAATCTCCACCAACTCACCACCTCCATATGATTTTTCTTAAATAGACTTGATTTTTTTTTAGAGTAGCAAAACAGCAGAAGTTAGACAATTCCTCCATCTCTTCTGTGCAGTCCCCCCAGGAACATATGAGAAGAAAATTGATTGAGACCTGTTTCTTCTCTGTGTCTCTGACTCCAGCACCTTGTGCCTCCTACCAGCATCCAGGGACCTTCGAATGTGAACTTGTTAGCTTGTGAGTAGGGGTCAAATCTCAGAGCCTGCCCATTTATTGACAGTTTTCTTTTTGTATTTGACCTGTCTTTTTTGTGTATGCTGGTACTAAAGCTTGAACTCAAGGACTTGCAATTTTGCTTACCTTTTTTGCTCGTGGCTGGTGCTCTACCACGTGAGCCACGCTTCCATGTTGGCATTTTTGACATTTCTTATCTGAAGGCCCAAAATTAGAATCTTCAAACTCCCACAAAATTGGCATCCTCTCTGAGTTTACAGGTAAAGTATTCGTGTGTGTGTGTGTGTGTGTGTGTGTGTGTATACTGGTCCTGGAGCTTGAACTCAGGGCCTAGGTGCTATCCCTGAGTTTTTCTGCTCAAGGAATTCACAACTCCAGTTCTCACTTTTTTGGTATTTAATAGGAGATAAGAATCTCACAGATTTTCTTGCCTGGGCTGGCTTTGAGTCATGAGCCTCAGATCTCAGCCTCCTGAATAGTTAGGATTATAGGTATGAACCACCAGCACCTGCTTAAATGAATTATTCTTAAAGCAATCCAATATCCAATAGAAACTTACTTTGGTTTTCAATGTTTGGAAATATATATCCCATTCTCTCTCTCTCTTACTCTCTCTCTCACACACATATACACATATTTGCAATACTGAAATTTGAACTCATAGCCGTGTGCTTGTTTGGCAGGTAACTATCACTTGAATCATGACCTCAGCTCTTGTTATTTTAGGTTATTTTCAGATAAGCCCATGTTTTTCACCAGGGGCTAGCCTCAAACCATGATCCTCTTATTTGTGTCTTCTTGGTAGCTGAGATGACAGGAGTGAGCTACAGAACCTGGCTGATACTGGGAAATCACTAGAAATAGTTAATCTCTCCAGCTCCTTTTACCTGTTCTTTGCCTTCATAGCCAAAATATAACAGAGTTCTCAACTGTAGTGACATAAAACACTCCTGAATTATGACTGCAACAAGGAATTTGGTACTAATAAAGTAATACATTTTGTGAATTATAATTTTTAAATGCCTGTAATCCTAGCTACTCAGGATACTGAGATCTGAGGATCCCATCTCTTCTACTTTATCTTGTTATACTAAACTAAATCTTGGCTAAAACTTTCCATTATGAGACTCCTCGCTTTTCATGGGACTCACTGAAATGTTTTTCACATGTGGATCTCAAGGACCTGTGGTTTTATGTAGAAATTGAGAAACTGAGAGAACCCCCCTCATCCATCCTCCAGTGACAGCAATTGGTGAGCTAGCCAGGGGTTGACTGTCACAAGATGCAGAAAGCATTTAGCTTCAGAACTCCCCCGCCCCCCAAATCTGTCTGTTAGTGACGGTGGAAGCTTTCTCTCTCCTCTTCCAGAAGACTGGCCACTGAAATTGGACAATAGAGATAGGCATGAACAAGGAGAAAGAGGGGGAAAAAAGGCAAGTCCTGCACCAGTAAATTTTCTAAGCCTTCCAAGTAAATCAGATATGCTACTAAGACTGAAAACATAGAAGCAATTGGTTCTCTACGTCAAATGTGGCCAAGTATTGGAGCTGTTTCTCTGTCCTGACTTCTTTGGACTTGTTCTACCTAATATTAGCCTCTAAATATTAAACTTAAGAGAATTAACTAAAATTCTTTTTAAGAAAATAGTATGTACCAAAACTCTCTTTACTAAAAACTCTTCACTTTTAAAGGTTTGGAAATGGGTGTTTTCCTTTCTGTCCAGGAAGTCATTAGCCCAGAAAATAAAAAGTAGGAGGAAGGTAGGTCACTGGAGGCATGACTTCACAGAGGACCTTGGACCTGAGCCCTTTCTTCTTCCTCTCTTTCACTTTGGGTGAAATGTGAGTACTTGTCACTGCTGTGCATTCTGTGCCACGGTGTGATGCCCACTACATGCCCAGAGCATTCAGTCCATTGTTGATCAGCTGTGAGCCAGAATTAAACTTGCTTCTTTGTAAGTTGGTTGTTTCAGCTATCTTGGTATAGTGATAGAAAGCAGACTGGCACAGGTGGGATTGCTGGATCAAATAGTCAGGTTAGCTTGGTTTTGGTTTGGGTGCTAGAGCTAAGGCTTGAACTCAAGACCTGGATGCTGTCCCTTAGCTATTTTGCTAAAGACTGGCATTCTACCACTTGAGCCATGCCTCTACTTCAGGCCTTTTCGTGGTTAATTGGAGATAAAAGTCACACAGGCTTTCCTGAGTGGTTGGGATTAGTGGCATGAGGCACTGGCACCAGGCTAGTAGTGCTATTTTTAATTTTTTTAGAGGATTGGTGAATTGTTATACTACTTTCTAGGTTTGGATCAGTTTCCAGCAATTTATTTTTCATGCTTTCAGTGTCTGGAAATAGCTCCCAATGTTCACTTAATGTTGCTGGCATCGTTTCCTTTGGACCATCCTAATTCTTTTATCACAGAGCCTTTCCTCCTCTATGAAGATGAAGATGATAGCCTTGCCTCTGGCTGCATATAAGGAGACTCTGAGCAGTAGAAGAGTCACTTTTCCTGTGGCCAGCTATTCTTTTGTAAATCCACTTACAGTAAATTCAAATCTTGTGTTCAGATCTATCATTTTTCTGACATCAAAGTCTTTGATTTATTTGGAATTGATTCTGGCTCAGGGTGATATAGTAGGATCTAGTTTCAGTTTTCTTCATGTGTATAGCCAATTCTGCCAGCACCATTTGTTGAAGAGGCTGTCTTTCTTTCATCCTGTGTTTTTTGGCCCCCTTTTCAAATATTAGGTGGCTATAGAGCTGTAGGATCATTTCTGTATCTCCTATTCTATTCCAGTGGGTTTCAGGCCTATTCTTGTGCCACTACCAAGATTTTTTTATTCCTAGAATTTGAAGTTTGGCATTATTTCTCCGACATTCTTCTTCTTGCTAAGGACTGTTTCTACTATTTGGAGTCTTTTATTATTCCATATGAATTTTTGGAATGTTTTCTCTACATCATTGAAGAGTGTTGTTGGGATTTTTGATGGGTATTGCATTGAATTTGTAGATAGCTTTGGGTAGTATTGCCATTTTCATGATGTTAATCCTGCCAATTCAGGATCATGAAAGGTTTTTGCATTTCCGTAAATCTGCTTTAATTTCTTTTCTCAGATTTCTAAATTTTTCATCATAAAAGTCCTTCATATCTTTGGTTAAGTTAATTCCTAAGTATTTTTGGAGGCTCTTACTAATGGAGTTGCTTTCCTGATTTCTGTCTCTATCTTCTTCTTATTGGCATACAGAAAAGCTACTGATTTTTGTATAACCTATTTTTCTTGTTGCTTTTGGCAGTTTGAACTCAAGTCCTTAATCTTGCTAGGCAGAAACTCTACCACTGGTATCATACCCCAGCTCTTTTTTGCTTTAGTAATAACTAAAGGATGGATCTTGAGCTTTTGCTCAGTACCTCAATTCTCCTACCAATGTCTCCCACATAGCAGGAGCCACAGCTGTGCACCACTCCTCAGTAGTTCCCTGTCTTCCCTCTCTGATCAATGTCTTGTTTCTTGCTGTCCCTATTCTTCTGGACCTAGCCTTTGGAAAAAGTTGAAACTTCTGTTGTAGGTGGTGTTAAGGCTAACCTTGGACTTTGATCCTTCTGCCTCCTTGAAGCTGGGATTGTTGGCCTGGAATTGATTTAAAAGCAGGATGTCTGTCCTGTACTTCATAAACTTTATTTAAAATGGAACTCAGAAAACCAACTAACTTTATTAACATGGACACCTCTGACCAGATCACACATTCACTCCCTCATTCCTACAGTACTTACTGTGTGTTTTAGGTGCAGGAGCTTGATTGCACCGTGGCCTTGATAACTGGTTAAAGACAGTAAACATGCCTGGAAACTGCAGCTGGGCATTTCCATTCCTAGCACTTCGAAGAAGGAAAATATACTCTGTTAAGAAGAGGAGGAGAAGGAGGAAGAGATGGAAGAGGAGGAGGAACTGACTCACACCTGTAATCCTAACTACTCAGAAAGATGAGATCTGAGGATCATGGTTCCAAACGAGCCACAGCAGAAAATTGTGAGACTCTTCCTTCTAATTAACCATCAAAAAGTTAAAAAGTGGATCTGTGGCTAAGTGGTAGAGTGCCAGCCTTGAGGCAGAAAAAAAAACCCAAACAACCCAGAAAAAAAATTTCAGGGATGGCTCCCAGGCCCTGACCTCAAAAGCCCCAGTACCAGCACACACACACACACACACACACACACACACACACACACACACACATTGTGATTGGACAACAAAGACTTTTAGATGTAAACATCTCTGATTGACTTTGTTTTGCTAGATCTTTCCAAATCAGGTTTGTAGTGAGAAACACACCAGAGTCTGCATTACTAAACCTAGTTCTAAATACAGCTGAAATGTGGTGGCAGCCTGCCTGGCCTCTGCAAGGTGCCAGCTCCTATCACATTCAGAACCCTGTGTTCCCAGGTGCTCAAGTTCACACAGAGGAACTTGCTAAACAAATCTGTCAATACATTGCACAGAGAGCTTCCCTTAAACAGAAATCCCACAACATCGCTCCCAGGTCTTGAACGGCTAGGCTTTACTAGGTTCAATCAATCCCAGTTTGAGTTTTAAGCCGCTGGTTTCCCGCCAAAGTGCTTCCATTTGCATGATAATTTTAAGAATTTAACGTGAATGCTAAGAATGTGCGCTAGCTTGCTCTCTAGCTTTCTGTGTCTCTGTCTCTCTCTCTGTCTCTCTCTGCCTGTCTGTCTGTCTCTGTCTGTCTGTCTGTCTCTCTCTCAGACAGCAATGGACTGAAGGGAACTGATTTTGTGTGTTTCCTTGGACAGTGTTTCCTTGACAGGGAAAGAGGAAGCAGGGGTTCCCCCTTTTTCCGTCTCCACAGTAAGTGGTGGTTACGCAGGACAGCAGGTCTGCACCATAACCTCGAGTGGGCAGCGCCTGGCTCCAGGGACTTCCCAGTGCCACCGCAACATCTCTAGTTTGGAGCCACTGATTTGGAGAGGCCATCCCCAGAATGTACTTGGTTTGGGGAAGCCATGGCTAATCGAAGTGAATGGTGTGTTTGGGGACTATGAAGAAGAGGATGGAAGAGAAAAAACAAACCCCCAAAACAAAGGAGGGGGGCAGAAAGAGAGGCATGTGGACTGGCTAGCCAGAGGATGCAGATAAAGGGCAGGAGGAGGAGTTCGTTCAGATGAAATATAAAACAATGAAGCTTGTTGAGATTAGGGGAAAGAAGAGTGATAGAGGAGGTGAGCTGATTGGGATACATTGTATACGTGTGTGGAGACGTCACAATGAAACCCCCATCGCACCTTTGAACCACTTAATGCACGCTAATACCAAGTTAAAACAAACAAACAACAAAAAAATACCAAGTTAAAACAAACAAACAAACAAAACCCCCAAAAACCCCAAGGGGTGGGCCTGAGAAGGGGCTGCTCACCAGCCGGGCGGCGCGCACTGCGGTCCTCCGGCCGGCAGGGGGCCCCCGCCTCCCCGGGAGCCCG